AAAGTTCTGGCCACTGTGGTGCCTGCCTTGGTTACATCTAGATTAGATCAATGCAATGTACTCAACTGGAGCTGCCTTTGAGAAGTGTCTGGAAACTTCCAATTGTTACAGAATGCTGCAGCCAAGACACTGAATGGATTGGGTTATAGGGACCCTATCACTCCAATCTTGGTCCATCTACACTAGCTTCCAATTTGTTTCCAGGCACAATTCCAGGTGCTAGCCTTGACCTTCAAAATCTTATCTGGTTTAGGACCACCTAATCCTGTATGAATTTGCCCAACCACTACAGTCATCTTTGGTGCTTCAAGAGCCCCCCCCCCCTTCTGAGATTAGGCAGGTGACAACCCAGAAGAACTTTCAGTTATGACAGCAAAGCTCCAGAACACTCTCCACAGGAAGATGCGTCTGCCCTATCTGTTGCTGTTTTCCACCAGCAAGTAAATACTTTTTTGTTACATTTCACATTTCCTCAATTATTCCTCCTTCCTAATCAATGTTTTCATTTTTTATGTAATTTAACATGGTTTTTTATTATTTTAATAGGTTTTTTATCATTATAACATGTGTTTGGGGAGAGGGGTTAATTTTAATGGTTTTAAAATGTAATTTTATCATATATGTTTTAAACTGTTAGATGCTTCGGTGGCCCTTGTGAGGGCAGAAAGGCAGGATATAAATTCCGTAAATAAAGAAATGTATGCTTGATTTTTCTATATGTGTACACTTTGTAATTCTCAGATTATATGCCACACATGTACAATTTAACATGTGATGTAAATTCCACATTTATGCAAGTACCAGTCCTTGATTTCATTTGTAAAGTTAATTCCCAAAGTTCCTAAAGGCTAAACAACATAAGGGTTCCTGTCCTACACTATATAGAAAAAAATCTTATGATGGCAGCAGCCATTATTTGGCAAACTGAGAAGACAAGCAGTAGTGATCTGTTATAATCTAGGGATTTTTAACTGATTTAACTTGTTTTAGGCCAGGAGCCATACACTAATGCAGCCAGTGATAAGCAGGGTGTAAACTGTTACAGTCAAATTCCACTTGGCTTTTCACTTCCTCCTGCCATATAATTATGAAGAGTGACATGTGCTGCAAGGAGTTAAATGGAGTTTCTTGGGACAGGGAATTACTTCAAGTTTATAGCAGAAAATCACTGTTGTTCAGTATGAAGTGTGGCCCTTGGAAGGTGTGAAAAGGTCTAAATACATTGTGTTCCAGTTTTCACACCTTTTATTGCAGCTGCAATAATTTTCATTGTCAGAGAAGAACCAGGCTATCACAAAAACAACTGACACAAGGAAAGTATCCTGAATGAGCTTCTCCAATATTTTATGCTCACAAACATTTGAAACTCTCATTTCTACCAAACTCTCCACCAAATTTTCATGAGAGCTACATTGACACAATGGAAGTTATGGCTTCTGTGAGCACTGGTAAAGTACTTAGTATGACAATGAGACCACAATGAAATCTGGAGAGGCAAAATAAAATCCCAGACACTTAAACCCCTTGATCAATGCCATGAAAGAGGATGACCTGGTTTATGATATCAGTGCTAAATCCTAGTATATGTGCACTGAATTAAGAACAGGCCCTTGCCCTGAGCACATACAGATCACATTCCTTTCCCTAAGACTCACTCCAGACTATCCTCAGAAACAGGATTAAAGAGCATGGATAATTCTCAGGACAGAATACACCTTCATTTTAATTGGGAAAATCACAGCCAAGTCAAGCATCACCTCAAATATGTCTGGTACCTATTTTAGATTCTAAATGAAATGCCCCAGAATAAGGATGACACCCCAAGACGGAAGTAACAAGTTGAAGAAGCTCCAATTTGCTCATCAACATAACAATCCAGGAGAACCTCTACTGCTCAAATCGTACCTCCTAGGGCCCCAAACCAAGGGGGATTCCCTCTCAAAAAGGCAGAGCACCAAGACCCCAAAATCCAAGCAAGCTACACATATTTCATGCCCCCTTTCATTCAAATCCTACGTTCTTACCCCCTTCTCTTCATCTACCCATCCCTTCCCTAGGGTACCCAAGGAAGTGATAGATGTACAGAGGGTGAGAGGTGACTTCTGCACTGTCATTTTTGCCACTCATTTGTCCCTATTGCGTCAGGGTTTTCCCCCCTTAATGTGTTTTGCACTCTCTAGTAGTCCCAGAGGAAGCAAAGGACATGTGGAGGGGGGATACCCAAAGCAATAGAGACAAACGAGTGACAAAAATGACAGAATGGAAGTGGCCAGAGTTCCTCCATGCCCCCTGCTACCTAGCCATTTAGTCACTAAACCTCTCCTTTGTCTAGTCCAAATTTTGTAATGACGTAAGATCTATCAGGAAGGAGAGACTACGAGAGTCCAACAATAACTGCAGATGATGAACACATCTAAATCCATCTAAAGACTGCGGTGTTCTCGCCTTAAAGTCTGACAAAGTGACTTTAGAAAAAGTAAAAACTGAGCTAATCAGCCAGCATCTTAACTGAAAGAATGTAAACAGACCAGTGATATCATAAACACACCAGCCAATATGAAGAGTTTTCAGTCTCTCTAGTTTTCAGCGAAACTATAAAGTACCTTTTTCATGAGAATTCTAGCAGTAAGAATGATTCTTGTTCCTCTAGTGAATAACTAATGTAATGGGATGGACACTCAAATCTTTGGAAAAATCCCTATTGTTTCAATTTTAAATGGGGCTAGAGTGAAAACTAGGAGCAGAACAGGAAAGTAGTAATACATGAAAAAGCAGAAGGGTCTGTTGAAGCAAAATACAAAAAAAAAAAAGTGTTAATCTTTAACGTGTCACAAGACTTTGGTTTTATACAGGAAAAAAGCTTTTCCAGCGCAGCGGTTTACTTATCAGTGCTTTTCAACATGTTTATAAAATGCATCCGAAAATGTTGCCACTTCACAATACAAGAATAGCAACACTTCCCCCTAATGAAGTGGTCTGGTTTTTGCAACAATTCCCATTTGCTTTATTATGCACATCATTTTACACTACCCTCCATTTATGAATATTTCATTCCATTCCATTATTATTGCATTAACTATTTTATTTAAAGTTCCGTGAAGAAACTTCTTAATGACTGAGCAATCCCCAGAAACACTACATCCATCTGCATAACAATACTTAGTTAAAGTGGAATACCTGGTAGAAAATCCTTCTATTTAAGAGATCTAAGATTTACCAGCACTGAATTTTAAAATTAAATAAATCGCAGTTTATGGCCTAGTTCCTCAAAACCTATACTTCTCTCCAAAGCAATCAATTCACATTCTCAAAGCCCAGAACTCCACCTCGTTTCTTTGGACATACTTAATTGCTTCCTAATTAATAAATATAAACATTTTCATTACTGTTCAAGCATGAAAAATGATGATGCTAGACATATAGAAGAGTTACATACTCTAACATTAAGCAGACATTGAAAATGGCATTAATTCTGACTGCTTCTTGTTCTTTGCAATTTTGGGCCCATGGGTAGCCAACAGTGAAAAATCAATTAATTATTAGGATGGAATGAGATCTCAAAATACTTATTTATTACACCCCTATAATGTATGAAACATTACATATTATTTCATTAGATTAATTCCTTGAAATATCACATACATGAATTCACACACTCTATGGCATTTGAACACTAGAATAGCAGGTAAATTTGATACAGATATCAGAAGGCATAAGAAGTCTACACACCCAAGAAGGAGGCCTATGTGGATTGCTGTTTTAAAAGATAGTTTCACTAAAACTACTGCTATAAAACTTTGTAAACATTATACAAACATTTAACGAAAGTGGCACTACAAAAGAAGTTTCTTTGTTCAGCAATTAGTCCTTCATATTATTTTCCTGCTATGGAATCAGAAACGACATTCCCATAAGATTGCTTTGCATTATCATTTCTGATTACGGGAATGTCATTTCTGACAGCCTAGAAATCCATATATTCCACAATCATCTACCATTTGGGAAGGAGTAGCTATTATACATGACTAGGTAAAGGTAGGAGCTGCGGTGGCTCAAGTGGTTAAGACACTGAACTGCAGGCTGTGGAAGGTCAGTAGTTCAACAGTTCGAGACCCGAGTTGCTGAAGTGAGCTCCCGTCTCTGGCCCCAGCTCCTGCCAACCTAGCAGTTCGAAAGCAAGAAATTGCAAGTAGATAAATAGGTACCACTTCGGTGGGAAGGTAACAGCGTTCGTGCGCCTCGGCATCTAGTCATGCTGGTCACACGACCACGGAAATGTCTTCGGACAGCACTGGCTCTTCGGCTTTGAAACGGAGATGAGCACCGCAACCCTAGAGTCGGACTCGACTGGCTTTCGAAAGCCAGTTGAATCCGACTCTAGGGATGCGGTGCTCATCACCGTTTCCAAGCCAAAGAGCCAGCGCTGTGCAAAGGCATTTCCGTGGTCATGTGGCCTTTTATACCTGACTATACATCACCAATAAACTGTCTGTGGATGTGCTAACTCAGAATCCTAGAGTGCACACCACTTCATGCTCTGTGGACCAGGAGACCACCAATAAGGATGAAATGACTAGTAACATTTAGCTTTTTATAGCACTTCCAGTGTTCGAAGCACTCTACCTGTAGCCTTGTACGGGAGGCTATTGTTCCTGTTTGTAGAAGGAGGATGTCATAAGAAAATGGCTTTCCCTAAGGCTACCTAGTGAATGTGTTGGCAAAGATGAGATATAAATTGGCAACATCCCAGATCCCAGCTCATTCTCTTAGCCACTACTTGACACCAACTATCCTGTAACAGCCTAGAAACTCATACACTCAATTATTCCCTGGTGAGCTCTCATCTACGATTTTGGAATACCAACATAACTTATTTTGCTCTCCTTGTAAGTCTATACTTTCGAATTTTCAGACAGCTTGTGGTGCATTAGAGTAAGGCTGTGAGATTTTTTTTTTTAAGTTTCACCTTAGATTTCCAGTATAAGAAAAACAACACTTACTCTGTTTTTCTTCTTAGCTTGTCTTCAAAGATATCATTTAGATTTATTGCCACTTGTCCCAGAAATTTATCAAGGCCAACAAGAGACCTGTGCATGACTATCAAGCAGAGAATGTATTTTTCTGAATTTCCTTCCATCAGCAATCCGGGTAATTCAAATGAGGCCTCTTCTTTCCACACAGGGTCCAGGGTCTTCTCTGCCACTGAGGTGGAGTACTTCTCCTTTCCCAGTTGTATGATCGTGTATGTATCATTAGTACCGCCTTTGCCCTTTGGCTTTAAGCCTTTGGCCTGAAGGACCGTGACCTGCACATGAGTAGGGAACCACTTCTGGGTTTGTTCTGCCAACATAGTCTCCGACATGGGGTTCAAGCAATAGTGATAAAGCCCAGGCACAAGCCTTACTACTTTAGAGGTGCACTTCAAAGCCTTACGGATCCTTGATACCGGTATGTGCAAACCTCTCAACTATTCCTTAACCAAGGGTTTAACACTGGGCCCAGATTTCTTAATCTACTTTAGCCTGCCATCCACACACTGGTCCATTTTTCACTGATTCTTCTTTTCTATCACAACCCTGTCAGTCCTTTCCACCCTTCGGTTCTTCCACACTCTTTTCAGGTTAACTCCCTCTCTGTGAGCATAACTTCTACTCCCCTGCTCAGCCTGGGGCGGGGGGCCAGTGATAAAGCCCACGCACAAGTCTTACTACTTTAGAGGTGCACTTCAAAGTCTTACGGATCCTTGATGTGCAAACCTCTCAACTATTCCTTAACCAAAGGTTTAACACTGGGCCCAGATTTGTTAATCTACTGTAGCCTGCCATCCACACACTGATTCTTCTTTTCTATCACAACCCTGTCAGTCCTTTCCACCCTTCGGTTCTTCCACACTCTTTTCAGGTTAACTCCCTCTCTGTGAGCATAACTTCTACTCCCCTGCTCAGCCTGGGGCGGGGGGCGAATAAAACCTTTAAGTGATACTCCTTTACTGGCAAACACCCACGGAGCTTCCCCACGTTATCGGAAGCAATGATGCACCAGGCGCCCTAGATTTCATTCCAGCGGGTGGGGAGGGGCAAGAAAACAGCGAACGGGGTAAAATGGCTCCGTCCATGGGGGGGGGGGGAGAGAGAGAGAAGGGAGCTGCTCCTTAGATAACCCTCCCCACCACCACCACCACCAGGCCTCCCTTCACCCTGAGACTTCCCTGGTTGCCTCACTAAAACAGTTGGGAGACCAACAGAGAGTGAGAGGGGAAACTGCGTCGCCTCCTGCCCTCTGCTGCGGCGTTAAACAAGCCAGCGCGGTCGCCTTCCGCCGGGCCTGCAGAACGAGGGCGCGCCGCAGATGGGGTCTCTCAGCGCTGCCCCGCCGCCGCCGCCGCTTCCCATGGATACGACGGGAACCGGAGCTGCCGGGCCGGAGCTTCCACTTCCGCATTCCCCATGTTGCCTGAGCCGGCGCTGCTGAGTGGGAGCGAGCGAGCGGCGCCGCCTCCTTCCTTGGGCGGTCAGAGGGCGGAGGGCAGGGTTCCCTTCCCTTTCCCAGCCGCCGCGGAGCTTCTTGTCCGAGCCAGCCCAGCCCAGCCCACCACTGGCATCGCCGGCCTTTGAAGCGGGTCTACCTGGGGGCTCTGGAGAGAAAACAGAAGAATGCTGTGGCCGGGGGAAGCGAAAGCCTGTTGAGAATAATGGACCCGCCAGACACGCACTGGTGGGGGGAAACAGCCACGCGCAAGCAAGGGATGGTGAAGCGGGGTTTCAGGGTCGCGAATAAAAGTGCGTCTTGGTACTAAACCCCTTCCCCTAATCTGAAGAACAGCCGCAGCTCTTTTTACGTTGTGCACATAACTAATCACGGACAGATTGAGCACTAACAGCCTTCTTTAATACAGACTTCGTTGGAAATCTGTTCAGTTGATTTCCATAGGACTTGCTCACCAATGGTTAGGGCTGGGTTTGAGTTTAAACGATGGCAAACCTAAACAGCATGATAAAAAGTAGAGACATCACCCTGCCAACAAAAGTCCGCATGGTCAAAGCAATGGTATTCCCAGTAGTCATGTATGGCTGCGAGAGTTGGACTATAAGGAAGGCCGAGCGCCGAAGAATAGATTCTTTTGAACTATGGTGCTGGAGCAGACTCTTGAGAGTCCCTTGGACTGCAAGAAGATCAAATCAGTCAATCCTAAAAGAAATCAACCCTGACTGTTCTCTGGAAGGCCAGATAATGAAACTGAAGCTCAAATACTTTGGCCACCAAATGAGAAGGGAGCACGCACTGGAGAAGACCCTGATGCTGGGAAAGATTGAAGGTCAAAGAAGACAGGGACGGCAAAGGATGAGATGGTTAGACAGTGTCATCGATGCAACGAACATGAAATTGAGCCAACTTCAGAGGACGGCGGAAGACAGGAGGGCCTGGCGGGAGATGATCCATGGGGTCTCGAAGAGTCAGACTCGACTGTGTGACTAAACAACAACAACAAAAGCAAGCTTCAGCGTATGCATTTGCCGGAAGTATACAGTTCTGCCCACTTAGGCACACCTAAGGCGAAGGTGCAAGTTATAAGGGAAGTAAATCCCTGGGAAATTAGGGGAGTCAAGTAACAGTGCTGTCACTCGGAAGCCAGTTGTATGGAAATTAGTGACGCCCAGTGAACATGCTTCTAGAGGGAAAACAGTGGATTTCTCTAACTTTTTCATATAGACCGCCCCATTCCGCCACCAAATCTAGGGTTACCAACCTCCAGGTGCAGCCTGGAGATCTGCTATTACAGTTGATATCCAGGCAACAGAGATCAGTTTCTCTGGAGGAAATGGCTACTTTGGAGAGTGGATTCTATGGCATTGTACCCTGCTAAGGTGGTCTCTCCCCCACCACCCTACCCTTGCCAGGCTCCACCCCCAAAATCTCCAGGTATTTCCCTGGCTAGAGCAGGTAATCCTAGTCACATCACGGATCAACATGCTGTTCCTAAAAGCCATGATCTAAGGCTCCCTAATGCTGGTTGTGGTTTAAAAAAAGTATCCAAGGAATGGATCAATATGATTTTTATGTACACGTCTCAAAAATCCATTATCAATTCAAAGAATACCAGGTGCACAAAACATGTTAAAAATCACGGATCCAGCACTTCATGACACCATGGTAGGGCAAAAACATGGGTATGAGGCACAGATCATTTTGAATCCTATTGACTTTTACATCAGACTAGTGAAATCCACTGTAAAATCACATACAAACATCCATAGACAGAACCACGATGAACCCAGATCCTCTGGTTGTTGTTTTTTTTTGGAAGCATCATAGTACAAAAATATGGACCCAAGGTACAGAACCTCATGATTTTTGCATGGAGTCCCACAGGATGCATTAGAACATTACATATTGCATTTATGTCTGCAGATTGTACAGTTTTAAAAAAAATGGACTCAGTGCTTTGTGCCTAGGGTTGCCAGCCTCCAGGTGGGGCCTGGGGATCTCCCGCTTTTACCACTGATCCCCAGCCGACAGAGATCAGCTCCCCTGGAGAAAATGGCTGCTTTGAAGGGTGGACTCCATGGCATTGTACTATACTGAGGCCCCTCCCCTCCCCAAACCACGCCCTCTCCTGGCTCCACCCCCAAAGTCTCCAGGTATTTTCCAACCCAGACTTGGCAACCCTATTTGTGCCAATGCCAAAGTATAAAAACATGGAACTGATCCCATGAATTCATACGATTTTTACAACACAAAACTACTATTTTATTTATTGATTGATTGATTTTATTAATTTCTATCCCACCCATTCTGGCCTAGGCTGGCTCAGAGCGGCTTTCAACAAGATAAAACTTCATAATACATAAGACACATTCATCACAATGAATACCAATTTAAATGAGTCATACAATACTATAAACAATGTTAAAACTGACAGTATTAAAGTGCTAGAAATGGCAATATTCAGTAGTTCTGTTGGTCTGCTTCCATTCTGGCGTTTTGCACCAGCTGCAGCTTCCAGATTTGCGACAAGGGCAGCCCCATGCAGAGGGCATTACAGTAATCCAATCTCGAGGTGACCATCGCATGGATCACTGTTGCCAAGCGGAGCCTCTAGCACCCGGCTCTGCTCTCGTCGCCATTATTACAGCTTATATCCTTGTTCTTAAACAATACCATAAAAAACATGGTTTCAGCTATTTGTGCTGGAATTAATCCATGTCTTTGACTTCTAAGGAACTGGATTTATATAACATCTATCTCCAGGTAACTTCTGATGTTATAACCTCAACTATCATCTCTGGTACCAACAAACACTACTTTGTGTGAGGAAATAACTGTTTAAAACAGAGAGGGTCTTTCCTGTAACTGACCTCCTATGGATTTTTAAGTACTTGCATTAAAAAATAGTTACCATTTAAAAAAAAAACTGCCCAGTCAATTGGGGCCACAGTTTAATAGATTAAAATGCCTCTAATTGGTTAACAGTACCATCTGAAGCACATTTTCAGAGGGTAGCCAGGTTGGTCTGCAGTGGAACAGCTAGCACCTTAGAGACCAACAAGATCTGACAAAGGGAACTTTGAGTCTTGCAGTCTCATGCCCTGAAAATCTTGTTGACCTCTAAGGTGTTACTGGACTCAAATCTAGCTGTCCTGAGCAAATTACAGTCTGGGGACTTTTATGGACTTAGAAGACTGTGACTCTGCTTAGGACTGCACTATAAGTGTACATGAAATGTACAAGAGGGCACTCTTTATATTGGGAATAGGGTTGTAGTTTTAATTCGCTGACTGTGGCCATTTTAAGCAGTTTCCCTCCTCTTTTTTCTTCCCCCTACTAACTTCATCATTTACAGTATATGCAGAACAGAGGATAGTTGCCACCAGGACCTAAAGGGATTGCCACTGAGGGATAAGGTGTTAAAGATCCAAGTGTACTTCTTTGAAAGTGATGGAGGGAGCAAGACAAGAGGAAAATCAAGCAAACTTTCAAGCTGAATACAGGGTGGATGCCAGCTGTAGCTGGTCAGATCAATAATAAAAAACAGTTTTGAGTTCTTAAAATCCCTGGCTGGTTAACATTATCTGGCTGCTCTGAGGAAAGCAGTTAGTAGATGTAATCAACGTTAATCACAGTTTTGGGTTACAGTAATGCTTTCCCTGAAGAAGCAGTACTTCATGGTGTGGGTATGTTTTAGGGAAACTAGTAAGAAACTACATGAAGTTAGACTAGAAAACTAGACAAATACTACTAGAGCCAGTTTGGTGTAGTGGTGGTTGTGCGCGGACTCTAATCTGGGAGAACCGGGTTTGATTCCCCACTCCTGCACTTGCACCTGGCTGGATGACTTTGGGCAAGCCGTAGTTCTGATAAGAGCTGTTCTTGAAAAAGAGCAGTTTCTGTCAGAGCTCTCTCAGCCCCACCTACCTCACAGGGTGTCTGTTGTGGGGAGGGGAAGGGGAAGGAGTTTGTAAGCCGCTCTGAGACACCTTTGGGTAATGAAAAGCAGGGTATAAATCCAATCTCCTCTTCTCTTCTACTCTTTTTCTACAGGCTGTTGAATGAAGACCCTACTTTTTAACCTCAACTAATTTATTAATCTCAGCTACTACTCCAGCTGCGGTGGCTCAAGTGG